AGCGATTTGCCGCTGGCTACACGAACAGCGGTGTCTACGAAATCACTACCCCAAACACAAGCAAGATTGACGTATACTGTGACCATGGAAACGGTAAAGGTATAGTAAACCCTTGAATATTATACATTTGACAGATTTATTTTGCTGACTTTCTTTATTTGACCATGTTAGATGATTCAGGCTGGACGATGGTTTTCAAGGCCGTAAGTAGTGTACCACTAGAACAAAAAGGTCCTTCAGTTTTATGGCTGTCAAACTCTCTTCTAGAATCCTCGTCAGCAGCTTTACCCATAAACAGCTCGTCCAGACAGCACTACAAGAACAGAATCGTAGAACATTGGCAGGCATTCAATCCAACACAGGTAATGTAAATTTATACTGTTTGTTAGCAACTGTTGGAAAAGGGCGGGAACGAAAGTCACATGACCAAAGAGGGCGGGGACAAAAGTCACGTGACCAAAGAGGGCGGGAACGAAAGTCACTTGATTAAAGAGGGGCGGGAACGAAAGTCACGTGACCAAAGAGGGCGGGAACGAAAGTCACGTGACCAAAGAGCTGGTAAACCAAGAGATCAAGGTTGGTATTACCAACTGCTCACAAGTTATGATTGGTGCTTCTTATAGGTTCGATTGTCGTTGTACAAGGACAAGAAAGAGGTTGTTCTTTTGGTATTCAACGCCACAGGATCTACCAAGACCAACTGGTTTTCTCGTGATCGTCTTCTAACAAGTCCATGGACTGACATACATTCCCAGCCTGTCAACGTCTTCTCCATAACTGGTGCAATCAGAGAGAATATTTTGAGGCGAACCTTTTACATAAACAGTGAATATGGTGGGTGCTCAAGTGACTCAGGATGGATGGTTCTTCAGGAGAAGGTCCCAGGACAATGCACCTGGGAAAACCATTTTCAGTACTTCTCGGTATTATATACCAAAACCAACCGCCGCGTACCGTGGTCAAAAGGTTAGCTATAGTAAAGTACTCAACAGTAAAGAAGAGCCTCATTCGTCTATCAACAACTAAAGCACTTTTTTTCTTTTAACAGGTGCATGGTCCGTGGCTGACATGATGGCCATATACATACGATGATCACGTGATATGATGACTATATACGTACGATGATCACGTGATATGACTACGTACATACGATGATCACGTGATATGATGACTACATGTATATACATACGATGATCACGTGATATGACTACG